CATCTTTTGATAAAAAAAACGTGTGTGTACTTTTACTACACGTAAGAAGTTATATTTCATTACACATAGGTTCACCTGATAGTAAGTGAATACCGCCGCCCATAGACCTCTGCTACACCCGAGGGTTACAGATACGTTGACAACCTTTTAAAATTGGGCTCCGGCTACCTCACTCACCAGATGAAACGGAAAAGTATTTGTCATACTTCCACTTTACGCTGGTCTTCAACCATTTAAATCGGTTCAGTAGTTTTGGCGTGAAAGTGAGACAGACAGACAGAGTTACTCTCGCATTTATAATATTAAAAGTATGGATGTTGCTGGATTACTACGGCAACCAGTAGCAGAAAGTTGCTATTGGTTGCCGTAGTAATAAGTTGTTCGAAATTGGTCGCTTTGCAACCGACTTCATCACATCGCTGTGGTTTTTCACCCGCATCGTTAAAGTTTCACTCTGATATTTTTCCAAACGCACCAAGAGAAGTATAACTTCAAATAGGTAAAGTAGGAAATTGTGAATACCTGCGCTCGATTCGTATGTTAGAATAGACTATATGCCCAATCAGCCTCAAAGCCATGCGTTTAAAGAGGAAAAGAAGTGTTGTCAAGGCCCATTGAGCTATCACATGGAAGCTTTTATCGCTCCGCACCCCGCAATCGGCACAAAAACTCTTACGCGTTGATAATGGGATCGATGAAGTAAAACAGACCGTATGTAACAGAGAAAGAGTATAAATTTGAAAGATAAAAATTTGAACCACAATTCTGAATGGACTCCCACACTTTCATTGAGGGGAACTGAAATCACTTTTTTCAGGCATAACACGAAATCCATATCGTATTTCGTTTTAAAATCAATAAAGTATCCTAAAAGTTAAAATGTTTTGTCTAATTAAGTTTATCTATAATGAAATATGCCTCTTAATTTGTATATAAAATAGTAATACATAAAGATTTTTTTACATAATGATTAGATTGGTATTTAAAAGTATGGCTTGATAATGTTAAGCAAATAGTAGGAAATTAAAGACATGGTTAGGAATGTGGATGAGTCGAGATTAAAATGTGTTTGCCACTTATTTTAAAATTAGAGACTTTAAAATACTTCGTAAAATAGCTTATTTACGGTGACAACCATTTCTTCTAATGGTTAAGAATACAACATTTCTTTAGTATATATGTTTAATTACGCAGTCATTCTCACAGCTGGAAAGTAAACTCACTTTTATGACAAAATTATACATATACTTTAAGCGAAAACAAACTTTCGGTCTTTATAGTGCAGCATGTAAAATATATTAGTTTTAAAAGAAATCTAGACATGATCAAAGACAGACTTAAAGTACAGTCCTGAACAAATACTGTCTGACTTGGCTTAAATTTTTTAATGAAAAAAGTAATTGAGACACAATGAGATAATTATAAAGAATTTTTTATTAATAACACGAGGTGATGGCTTAATGTTTTGGTTGGTCGCTAACTGTGCCATGGTGTGGTGTCAGCTTTGTGTCAAGGCCCTACGCTATGCAGATATCGACGTGACCAATCGATGCTATGACTGACATCTGACGTATTACGATGACGTTTGTCATTAGCCACTAGAGTTGAAACGATAAACGCTATCAGTGTAAAAATCCCTAGAAAATTCAACAAAATAGTTTACATATACAGAACGTCAAACATTGTTGCTGTAATGTGTGTTTGCAGGAATTAGGCTTAAATTAAATTAAATTCATTGTATATAAAACTATTTTACGGATACATTTGCGTTTTCATGTTTCCAATCCCTATGTTCTTCGGACAGTATATTCCGTGAATGTTGTGAAATAAAAGGAACTTAAAGACAATGTCAGGAAATTAAGGGCCATTTAAACGCATATGATTCGAATACCTTATTTACAAAAGTTCTAACTTCAATATACACGATAATATTATATTAATATTTTTAAATTATGTTAAAGCAAATTTCAAGTTGCTTCATGAATTAGGTTGTGACAATGATTGTCGCTGCTATATTGCACAGAACATTAAAGTACTTTTTTATTTATTTACGTATTTACAAGACGAAGGAAAATCATTGAAGTTAGATTTATAATCCATTCCCTTCTTTAGTTTCCTTTGTAGTCATCAAAAATACGAGCTAATAGAAGTAAAGGTGAAAAGGCACGCGGCATAATAAGAATTTTGAAATTATTTCGTTGCGTGCTCAAAGAAATTCGAACGACGATTTCGTATTCCTGAAATTGTTATAACGTGAACCGACTTAAGTTAGCTCCACTACAAATTCCAATAGACGCCAGTAGAAACAAAAGCTCATGCGTCTCTGAGCTTTTATGGGGTATGTATAGCTTTTCATAGATGTTTTAACGATAGAAATAATTTAATGTGGAATATTTTGTACACGTGGCCATTCTCAATACGCCTTAAGTGCGTGGACTGAGATTCAAACACAAACACACACACACACACACAAACTGAAGTAGAATACTGACCCTAAGGCGCAACAGGCTTAGGGTCAGTATTCTACTACAGCTTAATAGTTCGTAACGAAGCTATGACGATCTCTGATACAGAGATTGTCGCGATGTTTTGTATTCATAGATAAATTTATAAGTATTCTGCGCCAGAGGGTGTGGGTTCGATTCCCACTACTGGAAAAATATTGTGTGATGAGCATAGTGTTTTTCTAGTGTCTGGGTGTTTATATATGTATAATGTGTATTTATTTACAAAAGAAAAGTAATGTTTAAGTATGTCTATCAGTTTTCTAGTACCCATAGTACAAGCATTGCTTAGTTTGGGACTAGAGAACGTTGTGTAAAAAGAATGTGTTAAATTAAATGTGTGTTAAATTTAAACTTAACAAGTCTGTGTAAAATGTTTTAAAGTTGTAATTAATGAATTTCATTTAGTCTTATACCTTTAAACGAGCAATTCTTGTATATACGTATATATATATAATCTGAGTCTCGGAAACCGTTCAAACGATTTTCGTGATATTTAGTATCCAGGGGGTTTCGGGGGCAATAAAGCGATAATCGATTCAGGCAATGAAAAACTGCTACAATCATTAGAATACGAAGATAAATTTAGCCACCATCTACAAAGTTATAAGAGCTCAGATGGGAAAACGGGCGGTTCCAAAACCATAAGACCCCGGCTCGAGTCCAGATGATTTTTCAATTACTTTTTCCTTTGTATCATGTTACTTTTTTGTGAGAAATAAAAACCGAGAAAAGCTCGGTCATTCAGGTACTTTAACTTAATCTTCCACTTGTTAGTATATTATTTTTCTAAATAATAGAACAAGTCTGCTGCTTTTACCCATTGTGTACATTGAGTTTGTCAGTACAATGTTGCTATACAGTTACCTTTCCGACGCGTTCGACAATAGTTGATGCAAACTTATAGTTCTCCCGATTACAAGAGCTACTAATAAATAATGTTTATAATGTTCATCGAGTTAACTTGTCTAATTAATAATCCGTTACATTGTATATCATACAGTAACAGCTTTAATTATTATTTTATGTTACAAGCGAAAATTATTTTACTTTAAATGTCAGTCCTTAATATATGTGGGTTATATTAAATGATTTGCTTTTGGTGATTGCCACAGTAAAGTGAAATCCACTGCTCGGCAAAGGCTTCGCCTGTAAGGAGTAGTCCATCACACGACCCCACTGCGAATTGTCAGACTTCATATATCTTAGAAGTATTGTTTGTTAGTATTTCGAAAATGTGAAGGCTTCCTCGTATGTTTTCCTTCACCTAGCACGTGATAAATCAACACTTAAAATTACCAGCTTCGTTGATGCCGGCCCCGGGATTCGAACTCAGGTATATTGAGCTATCATAGTTAGGTTTGCATAATAATATAAGCATTCGTATTCATAGGAATATTTTGTGGACTTTGTTTAATTTCAATTCATTAGCAATATTTTGAAAACGCGTCAGCCAAATATAACCGATTAGTTGAAGCACACTCGACGAATCGATCCGCTGTTGTAAAACAATGGAACAGCGGAAATATTTCCACTTCATAACGGTTTTGCAAAGCGGTCTCATGTTGAAAACACTCACTGAAGTTTACAATGTATTTCTCTCTGGCATTGTGCTCCGCACAAACGTGGGACTGTGAAACAAAGCGAATGCATGTCGGCGATGACTCTACCGGACAGATTCATCTACTAATGAATTACTCTTTACTTTGGAATGCGTTCCCGCGAATCATATTGTGGATTTTTTTCATGTTGGAGCAGAACCAAATTCGTTTCAGCTTAAAACAGTGGAAGTCTGTTAGCAAATGTTGAGTGGAATATTTTTGTTCATGCTGATGTAATATCAAAAAAACTAGATTAGACTGTAGCCTTTTGCATAATATGTACCCTTTTATCAATTTTGTCACACGTATACTCATTACCAGAATGAATAATCAAACTGTTATTGACTTATTTTTGTTAAAATTCTAGCTAACATATCTTCAGTATCGTTAAAAGCTATTACTGTTTAATTTTTTTACCATTACTAGGTATGATTATAAAGTTAGTGTAAAGTGTTTGACATTTAAAATCGTTGTTTCATTGTTATTTATGCAATGGACAGAAACCTAAACAAAAACTGTACTCTTAATTTTCTTTACAAATATACGTGAACCCCCAATAATAGAAAAGCATTTATAGGGATGTCACGCGATATGCAGTTCACTTTGTGTTGAAATTCTTATAACTGGAACACGTTCTGTCGACACGATACGCTGGAAACATAGAGTTTTTTTACCACATTCTACAGTTTTCCCTTTCAACGGAACAAATAACTGGTCAGAGACATGTACTCCAACCTAGAAAAAAAAAAACACAGCTCCAACGAGAAAGTGTCTACGGGTTTTGAGCGCAATGCATTCGATGCGCGAAGCAGAGTCAACTTCCATCAAACAAATCTAAAACGAGCGATCCAACAGCCCATACAGTTAGCGTTACTCCCATTTAGCGTACCATGCAATGCCACAACGCCGTTGCACACATATAAACAAAATAACATACACGATTCTACCACATACCCATGAAGCAGGCGGATATCTCGGGAAGGGCGCGATGGTCTTCGTGGCGACATTGCTTGGGAGCTCGCTCTTGATGCCCCTCTTCAGCCGCTGTTTCCTTCTCTCCCGCGATTTCGCTCTTAGCATAAGAGCTGCCTGCATACTTGCCAGTTTCGTGGCCGTGTGGGAGCGCGCTTACAACGCAGCTCAGAAAAGCCCCGACGCGCAGTCAAGCAAACGAACACTAGACGATCCTCCGTACAGTCCGTAAGAAGCGTTGCACTCGCGTGTGACAATCCTTTCCGTAACTGACGTTTACTACTAACGCTAGCGTGACTAATTGATATTTGAAAATGTTATTTTAGATAAAATTTCGTAAGTGTATATATTTTAGATGATTCAGAAAAACGCGAGTTTAGTTCGATTTCACTTGTGCAAGTCCGATCATAGATCTAAGTTTTTATTTTTCGTTCACTTAAATATTATTACTTGATAAAGATAGGCACGAGAAAGGCGAGAAAACTAGGTTTTATTAATTTTTAATTTAACTTTATTACTCTAAAAAGATATGTTTGTGGTGTGAAAACGAGTATGGAAGCAAGCACAATTTGGCTTTCAATGTTGAACGAGACAGTTTTAGTTCGGATCTTCTTTAGACGATGTTGTCACTCATGTTTCGTTCCGCACGTCAAGACGCAGTCTCTGATACTTCGACGCCTGCCACCGGACGCTACTCTCCGCTAGGTGTCGCTGTTTCATGGCCGGCCTACTTTTCTCACTTCGCGTACCGACACTTCTCCGCAACACATATTAACGACGCGCTCAAACGGCAAACGCTACGAGAACAACGTTAAAGCGGACGAACAAATTGCGGGCCGCGGGCTCCCAAACGGAACGCATCTAAAAGGTGACGTCTTACATTGCATTGTCTTGCGCGCGCATGCGGTATGCACCAGAGCAACTTACACCAACACCCGTACGGGGCTTGCGTTAACACACAACATATAGGCCGTTACATCTATGGTATGCATGCTGGCTATGGCGCAAAGACACTGAGGCACAACATCGCAGGCAGTGTACCTCGACGGTATGGCATGGTGAGTGTGGGGGGGGCGGCGGCGGCGCGAGGAGGCGGGACTCCCAGTGCTGGCAGGAGTAGGCGCGGACGCCGGTGGGTGCGGGGTGGAGGGGGCTGCGCGGGCGCGGGCTCGACGGCGCTGGCTGGCGGCCGTGCTGGCGAGCCTGCCGGCGGAACTGACGTTTAGGACGTCCCCATTTTACTACGGTCATCATGGCACGGTGAATGGAACAACAGTTTTGGCAGCCCTAACCACTCGTATCGTATTCAGGGCCTTCACTAAGGGCCCTTAGTGAAATCAAATTTCATAATGTGCAGGGTTTTCACTCGAAGTCAATTTCGAATTAAATACGCCCACTATGATGTGGTGTTTTCTTCGTACATCATTACGTAAACCCATTAGAAAGATATTTCAGGTTTATGAATCTCTCCATGCTCTCCCGTTTTTATGTGTCTGTAATTAACAATACACTCGGAAACTATTTAAGAGCATTTTCATTGCTTATATCATGGTTATGAAAAAATAGTTAAAAAATACAAAATAAATGATCATTATCTTTGAAAAGTTTATGGGGAGATACGAGTGGCAAGGGCTAGTAAAGTCTTAAATTAACAGAACAGCAGAATAAGCAGTTTGACACTATACTCTATGAGAATTGTACGGTCTTTTGTTAACTGTCAAGATAATGTATTACGCTTTCTTGGTCATAAGGCATTTGATATTGATAATTTCTCAAACTATTCTCTAATTATATCTCTTTAATAATTATATCATACAAGTTTGGTCCACAGCTTATCACCACGTGACAATTGCAAAAATCATTTTCACAAATATCCTTCAGAATTTAGGTTATTATCAGGTCTAAAAGAAAGGCAAATGCAAAAATAATGTTACAGTTTAAGCTTTACCAAATGTAAATTTATGTGGACCCCAGGACAGACAGGAATTTTTAAATATACACTAAGCAAATAAAATTAAAGCGAATTACACTTCTGTACTCATTCTCCTTTGTCCCTTTGGTTTTAATTTAGTAAATTCGCAAGACAAATTGCTGAAGCGATATTATTTGTCAAGATTTCTCGTCTCCGACTTTAATAATGGAAGCCCAAACGATATTGCTCTAAGTAGACCAGAAAATTTGTAATGAGAAATATTTGTACAAAGTGCAAAAGAAAAAGAATTTTTATTCAAATACAACTATCAGGCACAGCTGCTGTGTCAGGAAAACAAAATGGAAATTAATACAGAACACGTGAGATTTTTTTGAATCTAAACACAGCAACGTTACCGTGAGTTATATGGAATGATATGGTAAAATTATTATTAATCTAGAAGTACATAAAGTATATTATTAAATACGCAGTTTTATCCTAACCGTCCCTTGATAATTCAGCACTGATGATGATTTGCGTTTGTAAGGAAATATTTATAACTTCGTTAGTATTTATAACTTCTTTAAGTAATGACTAACTTTCCCAATTTTCGCCAAAAATTACGACAGACTAATAGCGTAAACCAGAACCAAAGTTAAAGAATACTAATATGGCCCATTTAGGCCCATGAGGTGTACTCATGAAAGTATTTAACTGGATCATTCTTAAATTTAAAAAGTCCTATAAGGTTTTCCATAGTGTGATTTACAAACAACTTATTATTTTACTTTTGCCGTCTGTTTTTTCAGTTTGACAGCCATACGCAGGAATTTCAATTATAGATTAACTTGAAATAAAATGAAAGAAAAGACGTCCAATCTTAAAGGCTGATTCATAAGACCAATTGTCACTGGCACAATTAAAACTACAACGTGAGGGTAACTTTGTTTGTATCCCCGACATTTTTGTCTATGGCCAGTATTTTTTGCCACTGACACTTGGCACAGTTAAAACTACAAAGAGTGTCCCCTTCTTTGCAACCCCGATTAACAACTGAACAACTGCTTATTGTCTATGGTTGTTTTTTTTTTAATAGTAAGTCGCACGAGTGCTCACCTTACGGCCCGCGAGCGACGCGCCGCCCGCCGCCGCGTACATGCACCGCGGCCGCGCGCGCTCACTCGCGACGCGCCCTCATCGCACGCGGCGCGTTGGCGGGCAAGCGACGCGCCCGCCCCGCCGCATCGGTGCCCCTACTCACGTGCACCTACAACACCAGGCACCGTTAACAGCACTCGGGCCCCGCCTCGATGGCGTGACGTAAGCGCGTTATCGCCGCACTGTACGAGCCGATGATAGGACATTACTAGGGTCGTGGGATTCGATTCCACGACGCCCGCACCTGCACCTGTCCGTCTTCTATGGTAGACGACTCTATTTGTGTATTAGTGTGTGTGTGACCCGATCGTAAACGTTATCGCCGCATTGTATGAACGATGATAGGACATTACTAGGGTCGTGGGATTTGATTCCACGACGCCCGCACCTGCACTTGTCTGCATGGCACGGCCGGGGAAGGTGCAATCTTCAACCTAGTTCGTTCCACCCCGCCTTTTCCCTGTTAGATACGAATTCTATCGTCTTTGAAAAACATTAAACGTGCATTCAAGCCATTTATTTATCCCTTTCCTTTTTAATTATATCCGTAAATCACTTAAAACATATGAGTTTATACAAAAACAATGTAGGATTTAAATTAAGAACAATATTGAATATAAAATATATTGTTGAAATACATCAATCGGTACTTAAAAAAAACACAGCGTCATAACGGAATTACAATGCGTTGCATAGATTGACTACATTGCTAAAAGATTTATAACATGTTTGTGATCAAAAATTGTAGTGACATAATGCATCCATAATATCCTGAAAAAAATTAAGTACTACGAGAGCCACTGCTGTTAAAACGGTTTTCAGTTAATTGCACTCAAAGTCAGGTATGCTCTTACGTTAAGTTCGAATATCAGAATAACGAAAGTGAGAATGCACATGGACCATTAAATATAGGTTCGCTCGGAAAATATCTTTCATTTTCAGAAAAAAAATGATTCGTTTCCATTTTATAGCATGTGAGAAACACATGTAACACACTAATACACTAAATAATTATAAAGAAAATGAGTTAAAAATGTATATAGTAGTTACATATTTGTGTATTTTTGTTTTTCTATAAGCTTCGTAATTACGACACTTAAATTTACGAAACTGAAACTTACTTACGAAACTTAATTAATTTAACAAATTACTCAGTATAACCTCGCACTTACCAAGAATACATAATTACTTTTTATGTCACATGCAAAATTGTCCCTCATTATGAGCTCACTGTTGCACTGTCTCATATTAATTATTTTAATAAATCTTTCTTTTTACTTACACTACTAATGCGGTATCAATAACCGTAGATAGCTTAATTAAATGAGCATTTATGATCACATAAGTTATACAAGGTATAACACATTTCATGATAGTTATTTATGTAACAAATGTTGGTAAAAATGTAATACTTTTTAATAATAATATTTTTTTTAATCTAATTTATGATAATGATCATTTGAGTAATTTTTTAAGACAAAAAGTGTAATAAAAATATCCATATCTTTTTTCATATATCTGACTTCTCATTACATAATAAGATACTTATTTGTCCTATCCTTTAATTTTAACGTCTAGAAAAACAAACAACTCTGTCCTTCACACTGACAAATAAATCATATTAATACTTGTCATGTACGAATTTAAATTCCATTGCTGGATAATCCATAACTATGCAAGAGGAAGACAATAATTACATGGTACGTTTTTTAAGTTACGTTATATATGTTTAAAATTGAAATACAGGTGTGTACTTGCATTTCAATTTTAAACATATATGACGTAACTTGATAACTTTTACAAGAGTGTTCTTGCGTTAGGAAAAAAATACACTTTATTCCAATACCACTCTCCGATCTCATTGATGTACTGAAGTTATTCAAAAACTAGTTCGAAGGATCTACAAGTTTAACCAAAGCGGCGTATTTCGATATCTCAAAAGCGTTATAACTTTAATGGAATAAATGATCAAAACCACTCCACGGAGCTTGCTGAAGCGACCTGCGCCAATCTAAATTCATACTGTTATAACGTAAAGTGTTTGCCAACTTGTGGGTACAATGCCTACGAGAATTATGAATAAGATCCTCTTAGAACGTTGTGTGTTTTCATATTAAGTTTGTTAGCGAGTAGTTCTTTTATTTACTTAATAACTTAGTTGCCTGAAGGAACAGTGTATTATTTATTAGAATACTTTACAGCACATTTCATGGTTAATGGTCATACTGGGTCTCCCATAAGTAGCACGACAAACTTAAGGAGGAGGTAGGGTGACGGTTCATATACGAAAAAAAAAATGAACTGGCGGTTCACCTGATGTTAAGTGATAACCACCGCCCATGGACATTTGCAATACAGTTGCATGTGGCATTGCCAACTTTTAATAAAGAGGGCCCCGGCGACCTCACTCACCACACGACACGCAGAAGTGCAACACTTCCACTTCATGCCGGTCTTCTGTGAGGTCTTGATATCCCCCAGGACGGATCTGCCCATTCGTGCAACAGTAAAGGCGGTTGCCTAGCCCTATCACAGTCAACAAATTTCGAATCGTTAAGCAAATCAGACCGCCTAAGCCCCATTCATGAAGTTTACGACTCAGTATTTGGAGACATTTCCAGGTAGTCGATACAATTTCCGATGGTACTCGAACTACCAGGAAATATCTCAATGTCTTGAAAATGATGACGCCTGTCATTCGCTTAGGCTTGTCTTATTGCTTGATCTTATTATAATTTAACAAAAAACAGACTCGGGTGTTGGTTATTACTAAATAAAGTGTAATTACATATTTGGTAAACAGTGTCTCATCAATAAATAAATGTTATAATAAATGTTTGACTTCGAAATTATATTTTAACGGTTACGTTCAGGGTTATATAGAGTTCAAAGAACGTTTAGATTGACCGATAACCAAGAAATATCGTGTTGTTAGGGGCAATAAATAACACGTAACAATTTTCTGACGAAATTATTTTATTACAAAGTTAATATAAGAAAGTTTTCTCTACAAAATTAATACTTCAACGAATTATAAACATTTTTTTTTATCTGTCATGTACTATAAATCCGTAGATCAATTCGCACTTAATTTATTCTTTTACACTCTAAAAAAGTCAAAAATCATGAAAGTTATGTATCTGTTAACATTATAAATCAACACAAAGTCACGTATCGCGCACTCTTCTCGTAGCACATGTGCTACGGGAGGCGTAGCACATAGTGTTCTATTAACAGTTTTGGTAATACATCCACATCGGTATAATTTATACATTCAGCATTCGTTTAAAAGCTTTTAAAATTAAGTTCCAAGCAAGCTAGAAAGCTGTGATTGAAACAACCATCAGAGAAAAAAATTATTCGAAGTACTTCCAAGGCAAGTAGAGCTTTGATAACTTTTGCTTTATGCGACTGCAATTTCAAATTAATGTAGTTTCAATTTGGTTTGAAGTTTAAGCCTCTTTGAACGAATTAATAAGCATATACATGCCGTGTGTAAAAAAAAAAGCTTAAAATAGAACGCATATTTAATTTTTTAAATATTATATTGCAACTTTATTTTTTTTAATTGTTATGGTTTAACGAAGGATATTGAAATTTTCATTCAGCTTTTCTTGCCCAATTTGTAGGCTAAATTAATAATTTTAATAATTGATAAGTAGAATATTTTTACAGGTGGTAGTTAAAGCTATCACTTTACTGCAATTGGAGTTGATATTTTCAATCATAGACAACGAAGATTTTAATGTTTAAATACTTTATTATACTTAGCATCAATACAAGTCGACACAAAGCCCTACAAGTAATTAAGGGATTGGGAGAGATGCGTGATGAAAAATTTCATGGAAGTAGCAAGTTCTGTGGCGGTTAACAAAAGGAACAAATGAATAATTGTCGGCCGTATGACAAAATAGGCCTGAAGGAATAAACTAAATGGTTAAGTGACGTAATTGAGTGTAGTTTCACGACAGAGGTACGCTACCCACATGAGAATAGCGCTATCGAATGCCTACTCTATAATTAAAAACTGAAGGCGAATTGTTACCATCAGTTCTATATTTGCTGATAGCGTCTCTCACTTATTTAAAAAAATTAATAAGCGGACGCGCCAACTGTCAAGTTCTGGGACTTTCGTATTGGTCGCGACTGTATTCCGATAAGGGACAAAATACACGTGTCCTTGTACTTTTTTTACAAGTAGCTGTCATGAATTCATAGCATTATAGTTTTTTTTTTCTTTTAATTAAAAAAAAATTAGGATTCAAAGATAATTTTAATTGAACATGTTTTATAGTGACTATAATAGTATCACGATCTTTTGACGCTATTTAAATCAATTCGGATTTAATGCTTAGTTTTGTGTTCTTTTTTAATAGTGCGTTTGAATAATATATTCTATGTCAACTTTTCAACTTTATTGTTTCAATAAAAAAACTGCAAACTGCACTTAAACGAGAATTAATACAAAGGCCTTTTTCCAATTGCTCCCAAAGGAAAGTCACGAATGTTTGCATAATTTAACTCCCGCCGGTCTTTAAGTTTAAAAGGCAATCTCACAATTAAAACCCATTAAACTTAAAAATTCATATGCACTCTGAAATTAAACGAGCTGAAACTGATTACATAGAAAATTAATCAGACTGGCTGCTTTATTTTCAAAGGCTATTTAGGTCGGCGCCCCCCCACTTTCGTCCATAGAATTTCAAAATAAACTTTGGCGTGGTTTCGCTTACACTACATTTCTAACGTTCAGAATATGCATTAAACTGTCGTGAAGTCTTGTGAAGAAGTAAAGGACATCTGTGATATAATTGTTTATGATATATGTTATCCTTTAAACGAGCAATTCTCGTATATATATCTATATAAAGTAAAAAAAAAGTAAAGTAACAGCCTATACATGTCTCACTGCTGGGCAAAGGCCTCCTCTATATAGAGGGTATATAGTATGCGGATTGGCGGACTTATATCTTCGAAATATTTTTTTGTTATTATCGAAAATATGCAGTTCCTCACGATGTTTTCCTTCACCGCGGAGCACGTGATAAGACAGCACTTAAAGTTAAAAACTTCATTGGTGCCGGCACCGGGGATCGAACTCAGGTTGCTCGAGTATATTGAATTAAAGGCGAGCGCCCGGACACTGAGCTATCACGGCTCTAATATATATCTAATCTCTAATAATATCTATATATATATATATATATATATATATAATCGGAATCTCGGAAACGACTCCAATGATTTTCATGAAATTTAGTATCTGCGTAGATTCGGGGGATTAAATTTCGCCGCAAAAAAAATGTTATAATAGCTCGGTCGGTAATCGGGCGGCCCCAAAACAGACGGCCGCGGTTCATATCACGATCATTTACACACTTACTTTTTTACTTTTTTTTCCATACCACATCATTACTTTATTTTTTATTTTTTTATTTCCAAAATACATGATTTACCAAAAAACCGAGCAAAGCTCGGTCCTCCAGGTACTCTTATATTTAATTAAGCAAACGCCTGACAGAAGCGTACGTATGTGTATGTACGGACGTTCGTATTGCAATGCTGCCTAAAGGATACGAATATTTTATTATTAAGGTTCCATTGTGTAACATGACGGATTTTATATAACTATCTGTGCCCGCGACTTCGTCCGCGTGGAATTTTAAATAAAAAATCTTTCAAAAAGTTATTTCTTCTTTCCTTTTTATTGTCTTTTATTACATCAGCTATCTGGCAGTGAAAGTCCCGTCAAAATCGGTTCAGCCGTTTCAGAAATTAGCCGGAACAAACAGACAGACAGTCAGACAAAAATTGTAAAAAATGTTATTTTGGTATGTGTACCGTGTATAAATCCATATGCATTTAGTAAAAAGCGGTTATTTTAAGATTACAAACA